GGCCCGGGCCCCGGGCTGCCGTGCTCCGGGCTCTGCGTCCTGCCAGCCGGGCGCTCGCTGCGCGGCTGCATGGGCTCGGCCGCCGGACCCGCCGGACCTGCAGACGGACGGACGGGAGCACGGATGCTGGAGGACTGCTCGGCGGTGGCGGCCAGCTCCGTGCTTGCTCCCGCCGCCCGCCCGCAGCACGCTGTTTCTCGGCGCCGCCCGCCCCGCCTCCCGGCTTCCCGACCGCTCCGGGGACGCAACGTGGAATCCGGGTCCTCCCGACGTCCTGCAGCAGGAGCCCGGCCCGCCACCTCCTCCTCCAGGAGGTCCCCAGGGCTCCGCCCGCCACCCCTTCAGGAGGCCCCCAGGCAGGACCTGAACCGGCCAGGACATCCTCCAGAGGCAACCCTGGGCAGAACCTGAGCCACCTCCGGGCCAGTCCCCGCCCGCTTGCCCCTTGGCTTTCCAAATCCCTACAAGTACAGGCCTCGAGCTGGGCGCTGGCTGCCTAGGGGTGGAGGGCGCGCATGGGAGGGACCTGCCCTGGGCTTGACCTGCACACCCCCGGGCCTGTAGGCTAGCCTGTCGTGGGGTCTGGCACATCCGGGCTGCTCCCGTCCCTCCTTCCCTCCCCAAGGCTACTTTCGGGCCTCCGGGCCTTTGCACCTGCTGTTGGTGCAGACAGGGAAGAGAAAAGGTGGCCATTCCCGCCCAGCCCCATCCAGCTGAGGCTTGTGGAGTTGAGGATGGGTGTGAACTGCGGGAAGCCGGTGGACCCCGACCGCACAAGCGCTGTCTGTCGGTCCCCTCCTGCGCTGATGCACGAGGCACCTCACACGGGTGTGGCCTGGCTTTAGGGCAGGATTTTTTGGTGACATCTGTTTACATCACTGCCGTCTGTTTCCCTTGTTTTTCCTACTGTGTCGCTGGCTTTTTATTATTGATTTGTGAAAACTCTTTGTATATTATCCTCTTTGTCGCACCTCTCCTGCCCGGGGTGTTACTCATCAACGCGCAGCACTTGCGGACAACTGCTTTCGGAGCTCCCGGCAGGCAGGTGGGGGGCCCCAGAGGGCGGAGGGCCTCGCTGGGCTGGCGCCCAGGCTCCGTCGACCCGGAGACGGCACCACCGTTACCGCCTCAGAGTTGTGAGAGGCATGTCAGAGTTCGACCCGTGCGGTCCGGCGAGCTTCGGCCCCGTGACCTGGCCTCAGCGGATGCATGTGGGTGCAGAGACTGAACCGCCTCCCTGCCCGACCCCGGGGAGTCCCCGCCCTGCAAGGAGGAAGCGAAAGCGCCCTCCTGCCTCGAACCCGCTGGCGCCAAGGTCGGAGAACCTCAGAGTCAATCATGGGGCGGGGCGGAGCCGGGGGGCGGGGTCGGCGAGAGGAAGTGCGGTAATGCACTGCATTCTGGGTCCGGAAGTGGGGCGCATGTGGAGGGCCGTACGTCATGGCGGCGCGGAGTCGGAAGAAGTGAGTTTGAGGGTCCGAGGACCTGTTGGGCCCCCGGAGGCTGCGAGTATCCAAAGGGGCTCTCGCTCCTTTCCGTGCTCCTGGGGCAGCGGGGTTGGGACGAGCCGGTATGGTGGGCGGCTGTGATGCCGACGTTATGACCCACAGGCGCTTGGCGGAGCTGACGGTGGATGAGTTCCTGGCCTCGGGCTTTGATTCCGAGTCCGAATCAGAGCCCGAGGGCGCCCCGGCAGCGGAGGCGCCGACGGCAGCCCGGAGTCCACGTGGGCCAGGTGGGGGCCCCTCGGCCAGGTGAGCGGGGCGCCTCCTCCCATGGAAGGCGCGCAGGCAGGATCCCTTCGCCCAGACCCGCCTCGCCTCTGGGATGCCGACCTCCCCGGGGTCTCAGGGCTGAGGCCTAGGGACCTTTGATCCCTACCCCCAATTCCTTTGACTTTTTTGTTTTCTTATCTGGTATGTGTTGAGTTTCTGTTCTATGTCAAATGAGTTTCTATTTTGTGTCGAGTCATTTTTTACGTAATGGGTATGCGTTATTGCACGATATGAAAATTCTGTTTTGGGGATGTTGTGTATAGTTTTAGGTTAGAGATCAACTCGTAGTGTGTTAGAAGAGATAAGCACTTTGAAATGAAAGAATTAAATAGAAGCGGCTAGAGTGATAAGGAGGTGTTGGGAAGAGAAGTTGTGTTGCAGTTTTAAATGGAGAAGGCTTTTTGAATACGTAATGTTGAAGCATAAACTTGTATGAGTAAGCTATGGGGGCAGAAGAGGAAGAGCCTCCTAGTGTTTCAGGTGGAGGGAGCAGCAAGGGTCTTGAAGTGGGAGCATGTTTTACACGTTTGAGGACAGTGAGAGGCGACTATAGCAGAGAGAGTGAGAGAGAGAGTAGCGAAAATGAGGCCAGAGAGATGACGAGGGATCAGGTCTTAGGCTGTTATCAGGTTTCCTTGTAAAATGGGAAGTTTTTTGGGGATTTTGAGCAGAGAAGTAACATCGTGTGACGTGTAGCACAGAGGGTCCCTTGGGTGCTGCCCTGGGAATGGAAGCAGGGAAACCTGCTTGGATGCCACTGTAGTAGCTGAGGAGTGCTGGTGTTTAAGTTTGAGTGATGACAGATCAGGTACGAGAGAGAGACTTAAGGACAACCCAGGGTTTTTCATCTGAGCACCTGGAAGGATGGGGTTGGGAACAGCTGAGGTGGAGCAGGGTGTGGGCAGAATGAGTTTAGGGAGACCATGAGTTCAGGACATGAGCATGTGGGTGGAATACATCGTCAGAGTGCACGTATGGAGATGTTGAGAGGCCGTTGAATGTGTGAATCTGGAGTTGGGGAGACAAGACAGGTTAGCTGAAACCTTCCTGGCTTTCTACCCCTGGAAGTACCTCTTCCCTTGGGTTGGTAGCTGCTGTGAGGGAACAAACAGACCTACTCCTTGAGCCTCTCAGGAGGCCAGCAAGCAGGCAGTTTGGTGGGGACAGGAAGCCCCCCAGTTGGCTGTGCCTACCCACTGGGCTTGCTGACCCCCATCCTTCTCAGCCGGCGGAAAGGCCGTGCCTCTGAGCACAAGGACCAGCTCTCTCGGCTGAAGGACAAGGACCCCGAGTTCTACAAATTTCTGCAGGAGAACGACCAGAGTCTGCTGAATTTCAGCGCGTCAGACAGTTCTGAGGATGAAGAGGAGCAGTTCCACTCCCTGCCCAACATGCTGGAGGTGAGGGGGCTGGGCAGAACTGGGGCGGGCGGGGGAGGGTCACCTGTGGCCGCTGCCTGCCCCACCTTGGCCCTTCTGTGTCTGTGCAGGAAGCAAGTGAGGAGGAGGAGGAGGAAGATGGAATGGAGGCTGGGGACAGAGTCCCCAGGGGACTGCAGGGGAAGAAGAGCGGTTCAGCTCCTGTGACCCTTGCTATGGTTGAGCAGTGGAAACAGGCAGCAAAGGTGAGAAGTAGGGCGGGGACTGGGTCTGTCCCCAGAGATAGAAGTCTGCACTAGGTGTGTCTCTTTGGAGGTGCCAAGGGCTGCTCAGGCGCCTTCTTGAGAGGATCACTCCCTGAGGCATGGGGCAGCTCCAGCATTACTCCTGTGTGCCAGGCAGCCCCAGAACTGTATATTCCCCCTTGGCCTGCCCCTTCCTCTCCAGGGCTGCCTGCTCCATTTTCTCTCGGGTTCTTACTGCCTAAAATTTATTGAGTGTGGTACTCGGTCTCTGTGCCTTGTTGGTCCAGGGAACAAGGGTCCTTCTGAGAGATTTGTGATGGTCTCTGTGGGATGACACTGGGAAGAGAACTACCCTTACTTCTTGGGAGCTGGCCGTGGTCTAGGAGCTGGCCTCCAAGGCCCTTGTCTTCTTGGAGGGTTCTAGACTCTGGCTCAGTGACCCTGGCCCCCACTTCTGTTCCTGTGTCTGAGAATGTGGCTGGGCCCTGGTGTCTTTCTCAGAGCGGTTCCGGGAGCTTCACATGCCTCCCGGGGTCCTCTCACCTCTCCAGCAGCACCTCACGCCAAAGCTGTTCCACGAGATTGTGCAGGCGTTCCGAGCGGCTGTGGCCACCACCCAGGGAGACCAGGAAGGTGCCGAGGCCAGCAGGTTCCAGGTCATGGACAGTGCAGGTGAGCCTGGCAAGGGGCCCGGGACCCAGGCTCTCCATGTGTATTCTCTGTCCTGAGAGGGGGCCTCAGCGGCATTTGTGCTCACACCCCCCACCCCCCTGCAGTGTTCAATGCCATGGTCACCTTTTGTATCAGAGACCTCCTCAGCTGTCTCCAGAAGCTGCTGTTTGGCAAGGCCCCAAAAGACGGCACCAGGTGAGGGGGCTGGTGGTCCTCCTGAACACAGCTGGGACAGCGTGGTGGGGACGGGGCCAAGCTCTCTGGACCTCTGAAGGGGTGGGGGCACACGGGACCCTGGGAAAGGCTGGGCTCTTAGGGCTGGTGGTTGGCAGGGGGAGCACCCCGTTTCCTTTTATTTTTGAGAAGGAATTCTCTGTCTGGAATTCCTCAGGGCACGGGATGTGTGTTCCTGCCTTCAGGCTTTACACCCATATTTTCTCGGGCCAGACTTTCTCCATTCTCTATGACAGCTGAGTTCCATTTACTCTGTTTGCCGCAGCCCTGCTCATGGTCTCAGGGAGCCTCCCAGATGGGGTCCCTGAGTTGCTGCCAGCCTATTCCCTTTGGGAGATGCGGGGGGCGGGGGTTGGGGTGGGATCACAGGCATAGATGAGTAACAGTCAGGGGAGTCGCAGATACAGAATGTCATAGATGGGGAATCACAGGCGTGGGGCATCTCTGCAGGGGGGCGCCACCATCCAGCAGCCCACTGTGGGGGAAGCTCCGTTTGGACATCAAGACTTACCTGAGCTCAGTCACACAGGTACGGTCCCGGCAGGGGTGGGGGGACCTTGGACCGGAGGTTGGTTGGGTTTGGGCCTCACTGTCCCTGCTGACCCCCAGCTGGCAGGCTGCCTGACTGAGGCAACGGTGGCGGCAGCCGTCCTCCAGCACATCAGTAGCGTGGTGCCCTACTACCTGACCTTCCCACAGCAGTGCCGTGTGCTGCTCAAGGTAGGCTGGCCTTCATACCCCAGACACGTCCCCTGGACACTTCCTTTTCCCTGCCTGCCCCAGCCCCTCCCTGCTGCATGCAGGACACCCCTGCCTTTCATCACTCCCCACCTCCCTCCCCGCCAGCGATGGTGGCTTGGCTCGGGCAGCATTTGTTAGCCTTTAGCAGAACCATGTTAGCCTTGCTTTTTTTGTTGTGAAGTTGTGAGCTGACAGCATTCATGGTACACGTACGCCCAGCTACATCGCTGTGGTGCTGTCCTCCCTGGGGATGGTGGCCTCTGTCGCGAGTTCCTTTTCTCTGACTGGTTTTCTGACCGCTCATGGTTACCACCTGTGGCACTTTGGAAAGTGCCATTCTGTCTCCAGGAGTGACCAGAGGGCACCGCTGGCCCTGGGTGGGGGGGGTCTGCTGCACCTGGGAGGAGAGGGGCTGGGCCGGGCCCCCAGGTGGGGAGCCTGAGTGGGCAGTGACCCCCTGCCCTCCATAGAGGATGGTGGTCCTGTGGGGCACTGGCGAGGAGACCCTGCGTGTGCTGGCCTTCCTGGTCCTTGTCAAAGTCTGCCGGCACAAGAAGGATGCCTTCTTGGGCCCCATCCTCAAGGTAGCGTGGTGTGGCTGGCCTGAATGGGCTCTTTTGGGACTGGCTGAGGTCCCCTCAGGGTCTGGGTAGATGGTCTCGGCTGAGGGTCTCCTGTGTGGGTGGTGCCTTTACCTGGCCCCTGCTCTGGGCAGGCCCCAGCCCCCTGCACCATGACCTTATGGCAGCCTGGCTCTTGGGGTCTTATGCAGAGGGAAGAGTTTGTGGAAGACTCTCTGGGCAGGGGTGGGAGCTCCATGAGGCCCCTGGAGCTCAGGACCAGCTTTGACTGAGTTTTCCTGCAGCGAATGTACATTACGTACGTGAAGAACTGCAAGTTCACATCCCCCAGTGCCCTGCCCACCATCACCTTCATGCAGCGCACCCTCACGGAGGTGCTTGCCTTAGACTCCGGGGCCGCCTATCAGCATGCCTTTCTCTACATCCGCCAACTCGCCGTCCACCTGCGCAATGCCATGGCCATGCGGAAGAAGGTGTGGGGGCTAGCTGGCGGGCGCACTTGAGGGCATGGGTCTGGGTGGGAGGCATTGGAGTGGGGGACTCCGTGCTGTGAGAGGAGGGGCCCCATGTGGCTCCTGGGCACCGTCAGGCTTATGAGGAGCTGCCCCCACCTGCCTGGAGCTGGACTGGCTCTCCTAGCGGCATGTCTTCTTTCTGATCAGGAGACGTACCAGTCCGTGTACAACTGGCAGTTCATGCACTGCCTCCACCTGTGGTGCCGTGTCCTGGGCACCCTCTGCCCCAGCGGGGCTCTTGAGCCCTTGATCTACCCCCTCGCACAGGTCATCATTGGCTGCATCAAGTGAGTCTGGGCTGGGCCCAGGCTGGTTTACGTGGATTGCCCTGGAGGTCGGGGGTCAGGGTTACATAGAGCATCCTGGGGGCCGGGAGGGGTCAAGGTTACACAAAGTCTTGGGTGGTCAAGGTCAGGGTTACAAGGGGTGTCCTGGGTGGTCAGGGTTACGCAGGGCATCTGAAGGGCTGGGAAGGGTAAATTCTTCAGAGGGATTCGGGGTGTATGTTTTAACAGTTCCTGTGGAGGGCTGGGGGTGGCCTCTCTGGCCCCTGAGCCCATCATGGGAGGCCACTCCAGACATTCTCGTGGGCGGCCGGTCGTGCCAGCTGCTCCTGTTGGCCCCAGCTCCACAGGATAGCACACACATGTATTCAGGAGACTCGGGACTAAGGGTATAGTGTGGGCCTGTATGAGTTTAAGCCACATGTGGGATGCACACCGAGTGCTCTAGGGCGGTGTGCCACAGTTGGACATAAATGTTCTGGGGAACCTTGTCTTTGGTAGTGTCGGGTTGGGATGGGCCCTCGGCTGCAGGTGGCTCTGCGTGCCTCTTGGCCAGGAGGGGGCATCTGTGTCCCTCTGAAGTGGGGGCGGGCTCTGCCTAGGTGGGAGGGAAGGAGAGGTGGACCTGGAAAAGCCCTGGCCACTGACGCTGATGCAGGGAAGAGGGAGACTTGAAGGAACTCCCTCATTAAAGTGAAATTGAGATAGAAGCTGGGTGAAGGGCCCCCAGTGACCAAGAGGGCAGTCAGAGCCCTTGTCCTGCCTTGGGGAGGGATCCCTGGGCAGGTGTGGCTGGGGGAGCCTGGTAGCAGTGGGCCAAGTGGGTCTGCCCCATGGGCCTCAGGACCTCTTTCACCCCTCCCCCCAGGCTAGTCCCCACTGCCCGCTTCTACCCGTTGCGCCTGCACTGCCTACGCGCCCTGACGCTGCTCTCGGAGAGCACGGGCACCTTTATCCCTGTGCTGCCCTTCCTCCTTGAGGTGAGTGGGCCATGAGGGCAGGAGTGGCCACCGGGGTGGGGGGGCGCGGCGGAACCTCTGCTCCGTTTGCCTGCTCAGCTCTGCCCCTGGCTTGCTCATGCTGGATGGCCCCAGGCTTGACAAACCTCCCTGTGCCCTAGTGTCCTCACCTGAGGACAGGAAATGGCACTGTGGACCTTGTAGGTTTTGCAGAAACGTCTGCTTAGCGCCTTGCTGCCTGTCCCTCCCAGGGGCAAATGTGAGGTGGTGTCTGCCCATGATGAGCCAGCCTCTGCTCTGCAGGCCCCCTGGTGTTGCTCAAACGTCAGGGCCAGCCAGGGTGGTAGTTGTTTGCTCGAGGTCAGAGTTAGCAGCTGAGCTTGGATGGAATCCCAGGACTGAGATGCCAGAGCTGCCTTATCTCCTCTGCAGAACCCTGTCTTGGTGCTGTGTCTGCATGTATGTGAACCTGTGCTTGTGTGTAGTGTGTGCACGTGCGTGTGTGTATACATGTGGAGGTGCACGGGTGTGTGTACGTGTGTGCGTGCGTGCGCACGTGCATGTGTGTGTGTGTGTGTGTGGTGCATGTGAGAGGCTGGAGTCCAAAGCCAAGGAGCTCCGGGCATGAGGCTTGGCTGGCACATGTTCAGAAATTCCTCAGCCCTCCTCTTGGGGTGGTCTTAACAGTCAGCATGCGCCCACCAGGGGGCCGGCCCAGGGCTATGGTCTGTTGCCCTGGTGCTGTTGACTGGGGGAGGGGAAGGAGGCAGAGGAAACCCAGACTGTTCTCACAGATTCCCCAGGGGAGCTGCTGCGGTTCCATGCTGTCAAGAACACCCTTTGGAAATTACATCGTTTCTGCTTGTGGCTGCCGCGGTGACCTCCAACCGCCTAGTCTATGGCTCTTCGCTCGTTGCTCCCACTGTGGCCCCCACCCCCACCCTGTACTGATTGTTATGTCCATGTTCTCGGCATCTGCTTCCATTTGTCTACCTCTACCCGCTGTCTCCCTAAGCCCTCACACTCCCACGGTGCCTTCCTCTTTCTTCCTTTGTTTGGTCTCTTTTCTCTGGGCAGCACAGGTACTGATGGGGGGACTAAGCTCCCTGCCTGGGCTTGATGCAGTCATGCCCAGTGCAGACTCTCCTCCTGAAGAAAGCAGCCCCAGTAGTGGGGACAGCTCTGGCTGCAAGGTCTCCTGCCCTTTCCTTACTGGCCGGTGATGGTGAGACCCCAGCCCTCACCCGGCTGACAGAGAAAGGGCAGTGCTCGTCTGGGCGCTGGTTTAGTGTGCGTCAAGACACGGCTGTTCTTTGAACGCGGGCACAGCCACCATAAATCTTCAGCTGAGAAGGTCATTTCTTCTCACAGTGTTCTCTACAAGGGCTCTCCTGGTGGTGGGCCCCACCCCCACCCCTGGACAGCCTGGGCCGTTGGGTCTTGGGGAGGTCAGCACTGGGGGGGTGGTGCTGGGGGGAGCACCCGGGTCCTGGCTGCAGCTGCTGAGAGTCTAGGCCCAGCCCCTCAAGTTGCCCTGCTGCCTCCCCTCCCGGCTTTTCCTGTCTTCTATGGGGTCTCCTGGACCTGTGGCCGCCAGCACCACCAGGGTGCAGGTATTCCCTGAGCAGCCCCACAGCGCTTCAGGAGACGTGTCATGAACCTTGAGGTCTGGCGCAGTGGTGGCTCCCTGACTCCTTTGTTTGCAGGGGTTTGTCCGTGCCTCCCAGCTGTGCTGAGGGAAGGTTCTGGCTCTGGTTCTGTGGGCAGCATGTGCGCCCTAGTCACTTTACTCATCCTCCTTGTTGCCAGAGAGCCTGGGCACCATTCCTGGGCAAGAGGCTGGGCTTTGGGAGCATGAGGACTCAGGCCTGCTGAGTGGGGAGGGCCTGGGGCTGTGGGCTTATAACTGTTGGGTGCCTGTCTGCCCTTGGTCTGAGGACCCAGAGGGTAGGCATGTCCCGTGGTGATGACTGTAGGGGGCATTCTGAGGAGGCAGCAGCTGGGGTCTTGCGGGTTCTCCCCTGGGGCAGTGGGCACCAGGCAGCAGACAGCAGGTCCCTGATGCTGCTTGCCTGGCAGGTTTTCCAGCAGGTCAACTTCAACAAGAAGCCAGGACGCATGAGTGCTAAACCCATCAACTTTGCCGTGATCCTGAAGCTGTCCAATGTCAACTTGCAGGAGAAGGTTTACCGGGTGAGGCTTGTGGGTTGGCCTTTGGGGTGCTGGCACCCTGCCCACCCTGACATGGCCCCCCGCCTGTCCTGACAGCCACTGCCCCCATCCTGATATCCCCCCATCCTGATATTCCCCCATCCTGATGCCTGCCCTCTGCCCTGATGTACTCCCCATTCTGATGGACCCCTTGCCCATGACATGTCACCCTGTTCTGATGTACCCCCCCATCCTGATGCTCACCCTGACCTCCTGCCATATTGACGTGCCCCTTGTGCCCTGACACCTGTGCTGATGCCCCACTGTCCTGATGTGCTCCCCCCACCTGCCCTGACGTGCCCTCCCGCCCTGATGCCCCTTGCCCACCCACTCTGACGTGCCCCCTGCCCCCAGGACGGCCTGCTGGAGCAGCTATGTGATCTCACCCTGGAGTACCTGCAGGGCCAGGCCCACAGCATTGCCTTCCCAGAGTTGGTGCTGCCGGCTGTCCTGCAGGTCTGTGCCCCTCCCCTACCCAAGCAACTCAGCGTACCAGCTCAGCCGTTTCACCAGGCAGGAGAGTGGGGTCCCAATGTGTGAGCAGCAGCATCTTCCCCAGAACACTTGGGGTACGGGGGCCTGGTGAGCCCTTGCAGATTCTGGGAGACTCCCCAGGGACTAGAGTGGCCGTGAAGGCTCTCCTGGAGGGCAGGACCTGGCTCCCCTTGGTCAGGGCTATCCCCCAGTACAGCCCCCCATGGCTTGGGGTCCGGTGACGAGGTGGGGCAGGAAGTTGGCTGACTCTGCTCCAGACCTTATGTCAGCCTCATTTCCCCGGCGCTACAAGGTCGCGGTGGGAGTTCCCTCATCTCTGGATCCCCTCTCAGCTTCCCCCACACTCTCTCCCCATGGATATCCATTTGCCCAGCTTAGATGCTTCCTGTCTCAGGGAGGCCTGTGCCGCCCCTGGGAAGGGGGCGCTGCCATCCCTGTAGGATCAGCCCCAAGCATCACAGGCCCCTTGGTGGGGAGGTGGGGGGCTGCTCCTCACACCCAAACTGTACATGGAGCTCAGATACCCACCTGGACACAGGTGTGCACGTGTGCGTATGTGAGCGAGCACAGTACGTACGTAGTTATATATTTCTATACGCACATGCCTGTACGTAGTCATGCTGTTGCGTGTACGCGTGCACACGTGTAATCACACGTGCAGGCTATAGTCAGTTATGGTCAAACTCACGTGCACAGCCACCGTCAAAGATACATGCAGTCAAATATAGGCATGTATACACACAGTCACGTACGTACTCACACAGTCACACGCAGTATACCCTTGGCCAGTGATACCAGGAAGTCGAATCTGTTTTGGGGCTTGGGGTCCCGAGGGATCATGAGCAGACAGGGTCAGCAGTTTTAGATAAAAGCCCAATAGTGGGTCCCATATGAGTAAGTGAGAAAACCATATTTACGGACAGGTGTCACCCAGTGTGTCCTGGAGGGTGGACCTGTGATGCCCTTAGCTGCCTCAGGCCTCAAGAAGGGCCCTCGCCACATGTGCTCCCGTCTGCAGCCCCCGACACACACACACACGTGTGCCCTGGGATAGGACCCACGTCCTATTCTAGTGGCAGACCCCTTCAGGGCTGGGGGAACGGGACAGCTGGGGCCGAAGCTGGACTGATAACCCTCCCGCTGCAGCTGAAGTCCTTCCTGCGGGAGTGCAAGGTGGCCAACTACTGCCGCCAGGTGCGCCAGCTGCTGGAGAAGGTGCAGGAGAACGTGGAGTATGTGCGCTGCCGCCGCCAGGCTGTCTCCTTCGGCGTGTCTGACCAGCCGACTGTGGTCAGTCCACAGGCGGGGGGGGTACGTGGGCTCAGTCTCCTTGGCTTGCCGAGAACAGGCATGACCCTGAGGTTCCCCCACCCCCCAGGATGCCTGGGAGAAGCAGACACGGGCAGAAGGGACCCCACTCACCAAGTACTACAGCCACTGGAGGAAGCTGCGGGACCGGGAGATCCAGCTGGAGATCAGCGGCAAAGAGCGGGTGTGCAGGGGCAGGGTTGGGGTGGGGCCAGGGGCACTGCGGTCATCTGGCCTGAGCCATGCGTCTGCATGCTGGCCACCAACTGACATGAGGCAGGGATGCCCTGCCAACCTGTGACCCCACGTAGGACGACAGTTGGGATACACTGAGCAGGGCCAGATTAGGCAGGGGGTCCCCTGCCACCGCCATCCTGGTGTTTGGGTGACAGAGCAGAGACTGGCCATTGAGTCTGGAAAAGGCGTAGGCAACCCAGCAGAACTGGGCAGGGCAGCGTCTCTGCCAGCCAGTGTCCCCTTTCTGGCCTTGTTGCCCGGAAGTAGAGGGATGGCAAGATGGGCTTTGTTTTGTGACCCCAGACCTGCCGGGATGGGGTGACTTCCTGTGAGTCACATGCCCATGACTGTATATGTCTGCCTCCCTTCCTGGGTGTGACGGTTTTGGGAGCAGAGAGGCAGGGGCCTGTGACTGGGCCTCTATGAGCTGGGAAACACGTTCTCGAGAGAGAAACGGATGTAATTACATCATGTGTGCCCGGGGTCCCCTCGCCCACCTGGGGGTAGCTCTGTTCAGGGGTTCCCAAAAGCAGTGTTGGGTAGGAGTCAGCTAGGAAAAGTGACTGATGCCTCCCTGGGGTCCAGCCTTGCTGGGCTTCTCAATGGCAGCTGGGGAAAGAGGACATGGCGGGTGGTGGGGGGAGGTGAATGGGACATTGGGTTTGAGTGAAGATGGTCTAGGGAGTGAGCGAGCAGAAGGTGGCCACGGTCAGAGTGGGCTGCTGCCTGCTGTTTCTCAAGGATCTCTTTCTGTGATGGTGATGCTGTGGGGGTCAACAGGTCAGGGGAGTCGGGGGGGTCAGGGTCGGGCTGTCACAGCATCCCGCTTGCTCTTCTAACACCCTGCTTTGGTGCTGGTCCTTCCAGTTGGAAGACTTGAACTTCCCAGAAATAAAGCGGCAGAGAACAGAGAAGAGGAAAGAGGAGGACAGGAAGGAGTTCAAGGACCTCTTTGACTTGGACAGTGATGACGAGGAGGATGTTTCTGGCCTCTCAGGGACAGGTATGGGGCTCGCGGCACTGGGCTGCCACTGGCATCCTTGAGGGGTAGGTGGGTACAGATAGGGCCAGGCCTGTGGGGGAGGCTGAGGTCCAAACTGGGCAAGATGGGGCTTGTGCCCCTCCCCTGTGGCGGCTGTCACCGGCTCCTCCCCACTTGCTGGCCCCTTTCCTTGCTTTGAAGTAGGGGCTAGGTTTTAAGATCCTGCTTGAGGCTTCCTTGGGGTGGGTACTGTGGCCCCAGTGCTGGCTCCACCCCCCCCAAGGGCAGTTGTGGGTTCTCCCGCCAGCACATAGTTCCCGTGAGTGTGTGGCCAGGCCAGGAGCAGACCTGACTCCTTTAGCCTCCATTGTATGAGCTGGTGGTCACTCAGTGGCCCCTCCTCTTGCACTCCCCAGGAGCTCCAGGGTCCCTGAGAGTTCGACATGGGGCAGAGGAGGAGGAAGATGATGAAGATGGTGGCAGCAGCAGTGGCAGTGAGGAGGAAGTCAGCGACTTGGATGGTGAGTGCTCCCAGGCTGGTGGGGCCTGGGGTGGGCCAGGGGGCAGGCTGTCCGAGGGCAGCTCCAAGCAGGCAGATGTCGACTACCCATGTCCCAGGAGGCCAGCCCAGCTGCTCTGGCAGCCAGCACAGTGGCATCAATAAATTAATTAGTGCCGTGATTAATTAGTGATGAGTAACCTCCAGGCTGGCTCCTTCTTATAGAGCAGGATTTATGTAGCCTTGCTCCCCTGCAGATGGCGGTGCAGACGCGGAGGCGGGGCTGGGCCCCGGGGAGCTGCAGCGGCTGGCCCAGGGGCCAGAGGACGAGCTTGAGGACCTACAGCTCTCTGAGGAGGACTGAGGCCACAGCAGCCAGCAGTGGGCAAGGCCATAGACTGTGGACAGAACTTTATTTTTACAACATGAAAGACCAAACGTACCAAAAGCTGGGCCACTCCCTCCACTGGCAGCCCTGGGGCAGGAACACACGGTTTAGCCTGCCCACTGTGGCCCCGTGCCTCGGGAAGGAAACTGCCCCCTCCTGACTGCAGGATGTGCAAGGCCCCAAAGCAGGACCAGCCCCATTTCCAGGGGAGCCGGGGCCTGGCTGGAGCCCATGTGATCCATGGCAGCCTCTGTGCCTCCTGTCTTTGGTGTGTCTGCCACTGCTGGGGCATGGGGACCTCAGGCTTGGTCCCAGGGAACCAAAGCGCAGGCTGGCTGCTTGACTTTGCAGCACCCCCAAAAGTCTTTGGAACGTGTTCGTTTTCTAAGTCACGTGTTTCCTCACTGTTAAAACATCTGGTTTTTTGCATCCAACTCCAAAAAGAAAAATAAGCCAAGGGGGGAGGGGCCGTTGCAACAGTCTCGCGGAGGGGTTCTGGGCACCTGGGCTCAGCACAGGGGCTGAGAGGGGTCAGCGGCCCCAGGGAGTAGGGTGGCAGTTCCATTCTCCTGCTGGGGCGAGGCTTGACCATAGTGGGAGGTGGCCGTTTCTGGGGATGGGGACTGTTCTCTAGCCGTAAGCTCTGGCTCAGGGGCCCGCAGGGATGGTGGTTGCAGCGGCAGAGCCACAGGGAAGCTGGCCATGTAGAACACTCGGCCCAGGCGCCTGGCCACCTGCAGAGACAGGCCTGGGTGGGCAGGCACTCTGGGGAACGGGGGGGTGCCCCCCCTTGGGGCTACTCCTCCTTGGGGCTACTCTCCCCCTGCTGCCCACCCATCAAGGCCACCCCTCCCTCGTGGTGACTCCCTCCCCAGAAGCCCACCTGGGCCCGGATCTTGAGTGCAGGGCCCAGCTTCAGCCCCATGGTAGTCAGCAGGTGCTCCTCAGTCAGCAGGGGCAGGGTCTCCCCATCAATCCCCTGTTCTCTGAAGATCTGTGGTGGTGGGGTCAGGACCTGAGTACAGGGAACAGTGCCTGCCTACCCCCACCCCAAATCCTTCCATCCTAGCCAGGCTAGGGCCCAAGGGTTTCCAGAGAGGGATGGAGCTAGTCTGTGCAACTTGCAGAAAAATTTTAAAATGAAAAGTCCTGTTAATGTTGGGCACATGCCAGCATTGGGGGCAGATGGGGGTAGGGCACCCTAGACCAGTGTGTCCCCCCATGCCCCTGTTTTCTGGGAGGGAGTTGAGTGGGTAGGGCTGCTGGGGCCACATGGTCCTGCCTCACCAGGGGGTCCCCAGCCACACCTGGCCCCCCTCACCGGTGCATACTCCCCACAGCCAGATAGGCCCCCCACGAAGCTGCACACATCATCCACTGTCCACTTGCTGACATCCTCGGGGGCTGTGGCCTCCTCCCCATCTGCAAAGAGCCCCGCCGCAGTGCCTGGGTGGGGGAGGGCCGTCACTGGGGCTCAGGGCAGGCTCCTTCACACGCCCCCCACCTTTCCTTGCCCTGTTCACTTAAAGATGTTGGATCCATGACTGGGAGGCGCTTCCCTCCCCAGAGATCCTTCCTCCCTGAGATCCATCCAGGGGCAGCCAAGCTGGGTCTCCTTCCCCCCATGAGGAAGTAAGGCTCACCTGTGTGGAAGTACGGGCTGATGGTGTAGGGGAGGCCCTGGGACAGTGCAGGGGGCAGCGTGGGCCCTGAGAGTAGCCTCTTCCCCTCTGCGCTGGTCCTTCCTCCAGCTGAGGCTTGGTCCAGGGTGAGGCCCTGGACGGTTGGAGCCACTGCGTCTGTGTCCTCTCCATCTGAGTCCTTGGGGGGCTCATCCTCAGAACCATCCTGTGCCCAGAGCCCCGCCCCTGTGGTCTCCTTGGACTCATTGGGCCGGGCTGGAGCGGGGCCTGGCCCCCCTTTCTGGACGGCCCGGCGAGCAGGCTCCCGAGGAGGGGTCGGGGGACCCTGGGGGGGCAGCGCCAGCAGCGGCGCCGAGCTGTGTCTCAATACCAGCATGGCCCCGCGCCGCTGCAGCTCCTCGGCGCCGTCGGGTGGGCGCAGGGCGGGCTCGGGCGCCAGCAGCTGGGGGCGGTGTACGCTCTCCAGCTCCTTCTGCCGCAACAGCTCGGCGGACATCTCCAGCCTAGGCCGAGAGGGCAGGGGTCAGCGGCGTGGCCGCCACACCCCCTCCCAAGCCGGGGCGGCTGCACCTACCGGGCCAAGTTCTGCTTCCGTAGCAACTCCTGCTGCCGGGCGAACATCTCCGCCTGGGCGGGGGGCAGGAAGCCGTAGCCTGGTGCAAGGGTACAAGCGACGGGAGCCAGGTGGCCGAGTGGTCCAGGCCGCCCACCCCACCCTGATCTGTCCTTGGTTCAGAGCACTCATGCTCCAGGGTCGCCCCGACGCTCCGGCGCGCGCACTCACGGCCCCCCCAGGACACAAAGGCTTCGCACGCACCCACTCGCTCCTCACCTGGGGTCTGGCACAGAGCCGAGGGCATCCCCAGGAAGGGGGGCCTGAGGTGGGGACCCAGGGCGATGTGCGGCGCATTCTGAGGCGACAGCAGAGGGGGGGGCGGCTGCGACAGCTCCCTGTGTACAGCGGGGTAGTGAGCGGCGCGCGCCGCAGCCCCGGGCTCCCGCCCTGCTTGCCCCCAATTCCCGGAACCGCACCCCCCTTCCCCCCCCCCGAGCCGCCTCCGCTAATTGCCAGCCGACCGGGCGGTCAATGCGCCGCTGGTTACCGCTCTGGGTCGCGCCCGCCCCCGCTGGCGGCGCCAATTAATCTCGGGCGGCGGCTCGGAGGCGCTGACCCGGCGGGCGGCGGGCGCGACTGCAGCGGTAATTACCGCGCGGGGCGCGCCGGGGGAGCCCCCGCCGCCCCCCTCCCTCTCTTCCCCTCCCTCTTCTCCCCTCCCCGCCCCCTGCAGACTCCGCGGGGCCGGGCACTGCGTAATTAGCAGCAGTCCAGGAGGCGGTAGAGGCAGCTGCAGACTCACCGCTGGGCGGAAGGGGATCTGGCGGGGTTGCGGGGGGTGCTGGAGGGCGGGGGGCAGTGTTCCCGCTCTTTGGGTACCTTCGTGGCCGGGCAGGAGATCGTTGGGAGCCACCCCAGCCCCTCCTGCCCCTTTGTCAGCTTCCTGGGGTGTCTCGTAGGGTCTCCCTACCCACCGACCCGGTGAGGCCTCATCTGTGCCACCCACAGCTCCTGCGACTGGCCCCCACCGTCCCCACCTTCACTGTCCCCAGGCGAACACCCTCCCCAGTTTGGGAGTCTTCAGATCCCACACCACTCCCCTCTTCTACCTCCAGCCCCCTGCCTACCTGTAGGGGAGCTCAGCCCTCGGCTGTCCCAGGTCGCCTGGAGTCAGTGGTCTCTCAGTTTCCCAGAGTGTGGTCACTCCCACCCCTACCCCTTCTGCCCCAGAAAAACTCCTGGCCTCTCCCAGCTGAGCGGGAGCCTTGGGCACAGCCAGCCCTGAACCCTGAGTCCGAGGGGCACTCAGTACCCACACGTGTGGCACGATGGTGGGAGGGGGCATGTGCCAATGCCTGCATGAATGGCAGCTGCGAAGGTGGCTGAGAAGGTATGGACGGTTCTGGCTGTTGGACCTGACAGGCCTGCCCACCCACCTCTGCACCCCAGAAGCAGGCACAGAAAATGTGGAAGCCTCTTCTGGCTGCTCTTTCCCTGGCAAAATGCAATCCAGCCCCCACCCTAGTACCTTTCAGGGAAGGACGGGGTAGCTGCTGGGGTGACACCTTCCCTGTGCTGGGCCAGGCCCTGCTTCCGACGCTGACCTCCTGTGGATGGTAGGTGGACTTCCAGTCCGCTGGGGCTCCGAACAGCTGCAGCTGCCACCTCCTGCCGGACCCTCAGGAGATCTTGTGGTGGTGGTGGTGGGGGGGAGTAGAAGTGACCCAGAGTCCAGATTCTCCCTGGACTCTCACTTCTCCTGCCCTGGTGAGCATAGGACATTCACCCAGCGACACCAAGGGGACCAGGAGCCAGTAGGGCAGATCCTCGAACCAACTCTTCACCAGTCTCCCCCCACCCCCGCTTACCCCACTGTGCACCAGGTCCTTGCACTGACCCTACTGTGCACCAGGTTCTAATACTGACCCTACTGTACACCAGCTCCTCCAGACACTGACCCTACTGTGGGCCAGAGTCTGACACTGACCCTGGGCTTGTTGGTCACCAGGACAGAAATGAGTAGCACACAGTAGGGCAAAGGAGACAGACAAATCACTACAGTACAAGGGCTAGAAGATACTGAGTGGGGAGGAGTCAGGTGATCCTTCAAAAGGGGCATGGGAATGTCACTGACCAAAGGGAGACTGGACGGAGGAAAAGGGCGCCCCAGGCTGGGGAGCCAGGTGTGCAAAGATGTACAAGACCGGATACTGACGGGTTCGGATGTTTGTTACAGAGACAGCGTGCATGAACACTTGTGGGGAGGCAGAGGTAGAGGCTGCAGCTCTGCAGCCCTAATGGAGGCACGGCCTTGAGGGAAGGGGACTGAGCAGGGGCAGAGACGAGGATGCAGGCCGCGGCTGTGGGGCAGGGAGGGCAGCTTGAGAAGAGTCCAGGAGTGAAGTGGGCAGACAGGGCTGGGCCTTGGCGCCTTAACTCTGGGCTGACTCAGGATGCTGCTGAGACCCCTCCTAGGTGGCAAGGCAGGAAAGTTCCATAGATCCCCCAGACACAGAGTTGGCAGGGACAGAGGCGTCAGGCTGATGAGATGACATAGGAGCACACATGGGACACATGACATACACAGGCATACAGCACACAGCATGTGTGGGCACACAGACACGAGGGTACACAGGTATACACGAGCACACTTGAGCACACGTGCACATGTAGGCATACATGTGTACACACAGGTACATGGCACACATGGGCCCGTGGCACACATGAACACACTTGAGCACACGTGTACATGCAGGCACATGGCACACACAGACGCACAGATAGGTAGATGGAACATGCGGGCACACTGCACACAATATGTTTGAACCACTGCTGCCCACATGGGTCTCCAGCCTGCTCAGGGCCGTTTCTGAGTCCCGCCCGCACTCCCCACTTGGGCAGCCTCTGCCGCTGCTGTTTATAAATTAATTACCCGAAAAGCGGAGGCCGGTCCTGCCCCAGGCCGGATGCCAGCCTGCAGAGCCTAGCCGGCGCGGCCGCCCGCATCGATCCCAGCGGTGCCTCCACCGCCCCCGCGCCGCGGCCGTGGTTATTTACAGTCGGCTCCGCGGCGGGGGTGGCGGCTAGGCGGCGGGAACCGTGATTGACAGCCAGCTCCCCGGGCGCAAGGCCCGAACCCCTCCCCCTTGCCGGCCAGCAGCGGCCCCAGGCAGGGCAGCGAAAGCAATTAAAAAGGAAGATTTTTAAATTATTAACATTTTGGTGAATTATTCAGGCTGTCGGTGCCTGAACTGCCCTGGGGGACAGTGCCTTGTGTGCGGGGAGGAAACCCTGCCCCCTTTCCGGGTGCACCCCCTCCCACCAGAAAAGCCAGGGCTCCCCTGGCTGGGTTGGTGGATGAGACCAGCATGCAGCTGGACAGACCACAGGGTGGGGAGCAGGAGAAGGCAGGGACATGCCAGTACCTCTGGCTGCCAAACCCCCAACAATCTCCCTGACTTCACTCACCCACACCCGTCCTGGACGCTCATCTGGGGTCTGGGCGCTCCCGGCTGAAGGTCTATGTCCCCTACCTGGCCCCAAGGCAGGGTTACTGACTTTTCAGCAGGAGAGGTAAGGACGTGGCACACAGACAGAGGACCTGCGTCTACCGGTGAGCCAGGGACTCAGTTTCCTTATCCACTGTCTGGGCAGCCCATAGGAGATGTGGAGTGTGGCCATCAGGAGAGGGATGGGGTGTAGGAGGAGGGACAGTCTGGGCTGACCTGCCTTCAGGTCAGCAGCCAAGGCTGGCGTGCCAGCAGAGGTGACAGCATGTTCTGGGTGGGCGTCGCTCGGGCACATACCGTGGCTGGGTAAGCCCATGTGGTAGAGCCGCTGGGGGTCCTCAAAGGTGCCCGCCTCGCTCAGTGCTGACACGAGGCGGCGGTAGTGCTCCTCGGGGGCCATGCCTGGCCCAAGCTCTGGCAGCAGCAAAGTTTCTGGTTGGGGGAGCACATGGTAAGGGGGCTTCTCCTTCAGACCCTGCTGAAGGGGAGGGGCAGGGCCTCTTCTCTTACCTAGACCCTCCTGCTGAGGCTGGCCCTGCTCTTCAAAGCCCCCCTCCACAAGGCCCTAGCACGCTTAGGGCTCAGGGACTCATCTCCCCCTCCCTCCTCCAGTGACACCCTCCTCAGGCTCCCACCTGGGGGGGACTTGCTTCGGGCCTTCTTCTCTGAAGGGCAGTCAATGCTGATGTGGGGGGAGGGGCCCAGCCTCTTGCCCAACAGGTCACCTGTAGGAGGGAGTATCTCAGGGACACGCAACGCCAGGGAGGGACCCAGCCCCTGCCCCCCATGCACACCCCCATCCTCCTGTTGGTCCTGGTAGGCCAAGGCTGGGTCTAGCCTGGAGTCCTAGTGACATCATGAAGGGGTAGAGGAAGGGCAAGCGTTCAGGACGGCCTGTCCCTGGGCTCTGGGGTGTGCGTGCACGTGTGAGGTGCGGGATGAGGGGCCGGGGGGCAGCTCAGGACCCCCTAGGCTGCCTGCTGCCCCAGCAGCCAGACCAGGCTCACTACAGAGCCTCCTGGCACCAATGCAGAAGAACGAAATACTTTTTGATTTGGCAGGATAGGGGAGGGCCGGTAATGTGAGGTCCTGTGCCAGACTGAGGGTAGGGAAGGTGTGCTGGGAAAGCACACCCCACCTCCCGGGCTGCAGGCGAAGCCCCCGCTCCTGGGCTAGCCAGGACCTTTGCTCACCTGCCCGCCTGCCCCTCAGCCCCCTGAGGCTGGGGCTGCCCCTTCAGCCCCACACAGGGCGCCCACAGCCCCGAGCCAGCCAAATCTATCTCCCACATCAGTGCAAGCCCCACAGACACCTTGAACCCATGTCCAGAACCTCCCATAGCTGTTCACCCAACCTGCCGGCAGCACCCTCAGCCAAGCCCTGGACCCTCTCCATTCTCAGGAGCCTCCTGGTGGCGGGTGAGGGCCCCCATTGGGACCCAGGCCCACCATGACACCTAGGTGAATGGGCTTCTAGACCCAAGCCCGCCCCAGAAGCTGGGCTGTCAGCTCCAAAGCTTAATTCCTTTTTCTTATTCCCTTAATCTGTCATTTTTATCAGGCTGGGGAAGTGCGGCAGCATCGGAGCCCCCGATCAATCTCCACATTACAGCTGACAGAACGGTGCTAATAACTTATTGATCTCAGCCACCTTGCCGCCACTGGCCAGGGCAGCCCGGCCCCCAGCCCCAGACCTGCCCCAAATCGAGGGACAGTGGCTGATGACTGGGCAGCACTGGGGGAGGGATCTTATTCCTGGGTCTCCTGGAGTGGGAGAGGCAGACGCAGGAGGGCGGTGCACAGTCCCTCCAGCACCCCCCTGCACCCACCCCTCTGGGGACAAGCGCAGGGAGGGAGCCATTTTATAAATAACCCAGGGGCTGTCCTGGGCAGCGAACTGTTTCCAACTTTCTAGGTGGCTGGAACTCCTCTCCCCTTTCTGGGTGGGCTAAGAGTAGGGACTCCTCTCTGCTCCTGGGAAGCCTGAAGCGTCATAGCCTGGGGGAGGGGCTGCCATGGGGGCTGGGGGCTCACTAGTGGCCTGAGGAAGGTTGTGTTCATAGGTCGCCCTGGGGACAGCAGGAGCACCCCAGGGACAGCCCCAGACACACAGGAGGGCTCACGCCTTCATGGATGCTGGGACAGACCTGCTCCCAGCCCCACACAGGGATGGGAAGGGGCTCGTGTCTGAGTGCATCTGTGTTTGGCGTGGGGCTGGAGCTGGGGTCCCAGATGCAAGAGCAGGTGATGACCCCCAGCTGAACAGGGGGTTACAGCCCTGGGGGAGGACCCTGGCATGGATGCACATTTGAAATTAGGATGTGCACACATCATGTGATGCATGCATGGCACACGTGTGGTACTTTAGGCAAAGTGTATGGCACTGAGCGTGCATCTACACACCCTACACTCAGTGCAAATGCACTCGAGGACACAGGCGTGAGTGGAAGTGGGGTGTGGTCATGCACACACATGCTGTATATATACCCACACACACGCATGCCTGTGTGCCGCCGGGACCTCGTGTGTGCAGGCGGCCGCAGGGAGGCCCTACCGGCTCAGAACATCTCAATCATGGTGGAGCCGCTCCACCAGATCGATGGGGCAATTAGATTTTATCAGCCGCTTGGCTGCCTCCTCTAGCCTGGCTCAGAGCAGACCCTGCCTTCCAGGGCCAGCATCTGGGTACATTGAGGGGGCCCCAGCCAGGGGCACACAGCACAAGCCACCCAGCCTTCCTGGGAGTGGCCAAGTCATTGGGACTCCAGTCCCACCCCCATGCTCTACAAGGTGCCTCCTCAGGCAGGACTGGGTCCCTGGGGCTGGCCCTCCCTCTGAGCTCCTCCTGCGGGGGTCTGGCTCAGGCCCCTCTGGGCAGGTGCGGATGCCCTGTTCCAGGCATTTCTGGGCCTCTATGAGGGCTGCACGAGCAGGTCCATGGGCTTGCATCCCGAGGAGGGCGGCAGTGGCCTTGGCAGCTCCAAGCTCCCCCAGCAGCAGCAGCAGCAGTGGAGCCATAGCCCCGCCTCCTGTCTGCCTGGCCGGGATTAACACAATTACCATCACGAGGCGCCCCGGGGGACAGGCGGCCTCGCCACCTCCGCCTCGCTGGCCTCCTGGCCGCCAGCCAAGGCTGCTGGGGGTGGCGAGTCCAGGCTGCTGAGCACAGACGCCCCAACATAGGCAGGCGGGGCTATCCCTGTGGAGCTCGGTCTGCCCCCTCCCCCGACCCTCACCTGCGGCTCCCAGGCCGAGCTCTGCACTGCCTCTCTGGAATTCGCAGCGGCTCTGGGGCTCGGGCATCACGAGGTGGCGGCTTCGGTGCACACTGGATATGAGGGTGGAGAGATCACTGTCCTGGCTGTGGCAAAGCAAGAGACATGGTGGGCAAGCAGTTGGGGTGGCCCAAGAGCCCCGACCAGGCACAGCAAGGCCCATCCCCCTGGGCACAAGGCAGAAGCCTAGCGACAGTGATGAGTGTGTAGGGCCTGCAGGTACTGTGACACTGTGCATGCGTGCGTGCACCCACAAAGTGGCACCCATGGAGCGGCCCGCACCGCATCTCCCTGTGGGCGTGAAGGTTTCACGGCCAAGACCTCACGCTCAGATCCGCCCCGGCTCCAGGACAGTCTTGCCCTTGCTCTCTCCAGAGAGGACTTGGCTGTGTACTGCCTCCCAGCAGGGGGGCTGCTACTGCAGGACAGGCACCCAGAGAGGACAAACCTGCCACAGGCGCCGGCCACTCTGCCACACGAGGAACACAGCTTGAATCATCTCGATTAAAACTTGCAGCCCCCCAGATAGATACAACACCCAATTTCTTCTAATAAGGAAAAGCGGTTCAGACCAAAGTCCTGGGGCTGATGAGACACATGCGTACACACACATGCACACACAGGAACACGCATGGTCACACAGAGGAACATATGTACACACAGGGACACAGACACGTACATGCATGCATGCACATGTGGGAATACACAGGTGAGCACACACGCATAGGTTCACACACGCATGCAGGAACACATACACACATGGGGACACAGACACATGCACACACATATGTGCACACATGGGGACACAGACACGTGCGTGCAGAGGAGAACATACAGATACGTGCAAGTGTACAGCTGCACACAGAAGGGGACCCAGGTTCACCTAGATCTAAGAATTGCAGCAAGCCAGGCTCGTGTGAACTTGGAATAAATACGTATTTAACTCTTGTTCCCTAGCTTTTCTTCTTCCTGCTAAATCAGCTCAATTCCACACCCACAGACCCCAGAGAGAAGGAGGCGAGAACCCCCCCAAGGGCGACTACATGAATACAGGAAGGTTGCCTGCTTCTCAAGCACACAGCTGGGCCCCCACCCTCCATATTCCCCCCGACGCCACCTGCCCGGCCCACCTGTGACGGAGCAGCCTCCCGGCTGGGCCACAACACATAGAGCCTTCACGAGTGACCAGGGAACCTCGACCCTAAACCTCATTAAATAGCCTCCCTGGCCTGGGCCGGCGGCCGGGGCTAATCCAGGCTGGCTCCTAATCAAATCCGTTTCAGCACCAAAGGCTGGGCTAGAGCTGGCTTCCGAGCCTTCTGGGAGACCCAGATGCGGGTCCTCCCAACCCCCCCCAACGCAAACAGGAGGGCAGGTGGGGCCGGGTAAGTACTTTATGGGATTAATTGGCAGCGAATCTCATCCCCTCCATCATCCTCATCAATGCGGGGGGCGAGGGGGATGTCGGAGCAAGAACTGCTGTTCTCAGCACCAGGGAGGGGGAGGGCGACCCAGGCTGCAGGGCTGTCCTGCCGCCAGGGGTTCCTCCCAGACTCCCATAGGAGGCGAACCTGCTTCCCAAGGACTCAGAAAGGAAGGGTCTCCTGGTTTGCTCTCCATGATCCCCAGCCCAGCACCCACAAAGGGACCTGGGCTTGGCCCTGGAGGATGTCTGAGAAACTGCAGGCCCTGGCAGGAGGACACTGAGAACCCTCTGGCCTTTGTCCTGGACCCAGAGAGTGCCTGCCCTTGGACCTCCTGCCTCTCTGTCTTGGGATTTGCTCTACAAGGACCTGTCTGGCCCCAGGGAAACCTGTCTGGTCACTCACTAAGCACATTACACCAGGTGCTGTGTAAAGAACCACAAAGTAACCTCACACCCACTGCACCAAGGAGGCTGGGGAGGAAGAGGGCCTGGAGCCTCCCCCCAGCCTGGGGCCTTGGCAGTGGGGGGGGGCAAGGACTACATCCCTCATGAAAACAAGGGGGCCAGTGAGCGTTTGCTGTCCGAGGGCTGCACGGGAGCCAGAGGGGACACACTTGGCAGAGCCCTGCAGATGGGGTTCTGCTCGCTCCAGCCACACCAACCAGACAGACAGAGAGATGAAGACAGGGGGATGGAGACAGACAAACAGGTAGAGATGGATAGAGGGACAGATGGAGACAGACAGGTAGATGGAGACAGATGATGGACGCTGATGGAAAAATGGACAGAGTCAAGGATAGAGACAGGACAGATGATGGAGACAGATGGACAGAGACAGGAGACCAGAGACAGAAGGAGAGACAGGCAGGGCCAGGAAGAGGCAGGAGGAGAGACAGAGACGAACAGAGCTGGGGGGCATTGAGGAGGCTGGGCACAGATCCCGAAAGTCCTCAGCAGGGTGTGCTGCCTTCCCTGGAGAAGCTCCCCTGGTGAAATCAGGACATCATCCAGCCTCTCATGGCCCCGTCAGTGGTCCGTGCCCCGTTTCCCTCAGCCAGGGCGGGGCGGGGCGGCCAGCAGGAGGAGTCCCTCCTGGGTGGGGGCAGTGCTTTGATCTCCTTCAGGCCCCACTGACAAATTTATCTTGTAATGTCCCAAGTAAAAGGCTTATAAAATGTCATCAGTGTTCCTGACGGTTCATAAAAATGATCAGTTGAGCTGGCAACTCCAGAATGAGGTGGAAATAAGTTTAAAGATGTTTTTATTGTAATTCGGTTCCAGGACCCTGCCACTGTTTCAGAGCCGTAAATAACAACACATCCCGCCTGAGCCAGGGCTGGGGTGTGGGGGGGCCTGGGAGGGCCGGCTCTGCGGGGACCCTGCCCAGCCCCACCCAACGCCCTGCTATGATGGAGCCCCTGGTGCTGCACTTGACCCCAAGGACCAGAAACCACGACCGGCCGTGCTGAACCCTGGAGCAGGAACGAGGCCCTGCCTCCCAGCCCCCACCTGGTCCTCCATCTCCTCAAGTCCCCCATTTTCACCTCTATCTTGGATTAACTCCCTCTTCCCATCCAGCTTCTACAGCCCAAGTGTGCATAGACCAGAGCAAGCCCCATGGCAAGGGGCCTCAAGAATGACCTTTTTCAAACCCCACATCACGTCTCGCTCCACTGAAGAACTCGGTGGCTCCCACGGCCAGGAGCATCCAAGGTCCCTGAATAGATGGTTGAGCTAGACCTGCCAGCCCCTACCCCATGCCTCTGCACACATTCCACTTCCACTTCTGTCCATCTGCTAAACTCCTACGCATTCTTCAAGACCCTCACCATCACTATCCTCGCTTTCCTGATGGTCCCCATGAGGATAGGAGTGGGTGACGGCCAGTACTGGGTAAAGGTGGAGGCAGCTGGGCTGGGCGGACCAGACCCCAAGGCTGCCTCCCAGGGCTAGGGTAAGAATTGCAGGAGACGGCAAACAAAGGACAAACACACAGACCCACAGATAGGAGGGAGGTGGGAGGCAGCTCAGGAGTCAGAGCAGACCTGAAACCAGCACACGCTCCTACCTGCAGGATGTCTCTCGGAAGGAGATGTTCACATCCCAGTGGGTGTGGACCCTGTGGGGAAAAAGGCCAGCACCTGGGCCAGGGAGAGAGGTCTCCCCAAACAGACCCCAGGTTTGAGGGGAGGGTGGTCAGGAGTCAGTGTGGACAGGGGTAGGCAAACAGGGCAGGCAATGTCCGGACGTGAAGCCTAGGAGAGTTATTTTAGGGGAGAAATGGGAACATGTTAAAAGGCTAAGTGGGAAGAGGAAAGGCCTGAAAATGCTGGGGATGTGTAATAGGTTCTCCGGAAGCATGTGCTGGATGGACAGACAGACGTGCAGATGGACAAATGGGCAGATGGATGAATGGATGGGTGGGTGGATAGATGGATCGATGGATGGACGAGTGGACTGATGAATGGATGGGTGTGTGGATAGGTGGGTGGATGGACAGCTGAAGGCGCCTCTTCCAGGAATGGGGAGGGCGGGAATCAGGAAGGTCAGGCCCAAGCCTGGGGGCACAGTGAGGACAGGAGAACCCGATATAGCCCCTGTGGGGCAAGGCAGCACCCCACTGGGCAGACCCCAGGCCTAGGCTCTGCTTCCTGTCCTGAGATGGGACCACTGAGCCAAGCCATGCCCCTCCCCACCTCCCTCCGTGCCCCCTCCCCCTGCACCACTCCCCTTTCTCCCTTTCTTCCCCCTCCCTCCTCCCCTCTGTATCCCTCGTGGTCCTTCCCAGCCAAGCACCTTCTCTTCATGATACTGACGCGAAGGTCGTCCTCCCGCTTCACACCTGGCCGCTGCCTATAGGCCGGGCTGCTCCTGTCACTACTGCCATCACTGGCCAGGAGGCTGGAGGCTGGCTCCTTTTTCAGGATGCGTGCAGGGGGCAGGGCGATGGTCCTCTTGTCTGCCAGCCGTCCCCGGTTCTGGGCAGGCAGGAGAGGAGGATTACAGAAGCCCTCAGGGCCACCACTGAGGACAAATAGGTGCAGTCACAGGACCGCCCCTCCCACTACCGTCTGCAGTGTAGGGGATTCCCAGCCTCCAGAAGAGGCCCCAAGAGCCACGAATGGCCAGAGAAGGCTCAGACCAGGGCCTGAGGTCAGGGACAGCCCACACGGCTGGAGGACTGTGGGGGTGGCCAGGCCAGGTGCACTGGGGGCTGCCCCGTCCAGACTCCAGACTCTGTCCCATCTCCTTGCAAATGGGGGCTTAACCTGTGACTGCGGGGTGGGGGTGAGCAGCACACCCTTCACTCTGAGCCCCTGTTGGGTTCCCTAGTGTCTCCTGCTGTGTGAACCCCAAACCAATGCCAACATCAAAAAACAGTCCAGTGTGAACCCCCAAACCAAGGCCAACATCAAGCACAGTCCAAGTTGAAAACCAAACTGATGCCAATGTTGACAAGAACAGCCTAACCTGAACCCCAAAGCAATGCCAACGTTGACAAGCACAATCCAGCGTGAACCCCAAACTGATGCCAACGCTGACAAGCATGTCCCCTTTCCACTCCTCTGCTGCCATGCATGGCCCAGCTCCAGGTGGTTTGCAGCCAGGCCTGGGCCTGGGATTGGCGGAACTGTGAGTGCCTGAGCCACGGGCTGTGCACACAGCAGGCATTCTCAGTCCCTGATGAGCCTCGTGGTCCAAGGAGCCCTCTTTGCAGCTGGACCAGCCCCGCACTCACCCCAAGCTCACCCTGAGACCCCAAGATTGAGGGGTTCACATATCTCCCCAAGGCCTGGACCACGGGAAACTGTGCACATGGTGTGCATGCGGGGGTGAGGTGTGGGGATGTGGCAGGAGGTGCATCCCATGGGTACAGACACGCACATGTATGAGGCCTCACAGAGAGCGTGGTTGTGCTCACAGCCCATGTGGGTTGAGGACACGCATGTGCACAGAACACATGTGCACAAAGAAAGTGTGTGGGAGGCGTTCATGCAAAGAAGGGCTGTTCTGCAGGTGTCTGTAGGCCCTGGCACCCCAGGGGCCAAGAAGTAAAGTTATTGATCATTCTCCAGTAGGCTGCTGGCTCTGGGAGGTGGTGGGGTGTTGGGTTTCTCTGATTTCCGCTCATCTCTTCGGCCACCTGGGGCATTCCCAGACACCCCCCGCCTCGCCACCTCCCATTGCCAGGACAACATGTCCCATCAATCTGTGAGCCGAGGGCTTCACAGAGAGTCCCACTCCTTCTGCAGCAGCCCCTGAAGCCCTCCACCCTGCCCTCCAGGATAAAAGGTCTTCTGCACCCAGAGTCACTGTCACCTCAAGACACGTGTCCTCAGCAGCAACCCGTACCCCAGCAACAGGTTTCAGCAGCACCCCCAGTGCGATCCAGTGCTATAGTCTGTCCACTCCAAAGGATATGGGGGCTACAGACTCCCCCTGCCATAGATCCAGGGGCTACAGCCTCCCACCACCCCACATGGGATGCAGGGCTAAGATCTCCTGCCTCCATGGATCTGGGGGCTACAGCCTTCCCGTACCTGCTTGAGACACCCTCGTTTCCCTCTCTGCAATGCACACTGCGCAAGCTGACCCAGCAGTGATGGGTTGAGGATGGGTGAGACAGTGGGATCTGAGGACAAGTCTGGAGGACGTGGGCTGGCTATGGGCTCGGCGAGTAGACTGCCAGCTGCCTGGTGGGTGCACTCTACTGGGAAGTCCCTGCTCAGCTCCGCCCCTCTCCAGCCTGCTGTAGCTTAGGCACCAGGACCTGGCCTTGGGAAGAGACCTAGGCTGAGCCTAGGGAGAGCCTCCGGAGAGCCCCATTGCCACCCTTATCACCACCACCCCTCTTCTCTCCTGCCTTTCTGACTCCATGCACCCCTGCCTGGTTTGTGTGACAGAAAAGAGGGACGGAGGCAGCAGGACTGCCCTCAGGAGGCAGCCAGGATGCGGCCACGGTACCCCTGGGGCTGCACGTCATTGTGCTGCACTGGGTGTTATGGCACCGATGAGAAGACCGGGTCCCCTGAGGGCAGCCTGAGGGGGAAGCTGAGGATGAGGCTGGCTGCCCCAGGGATAGCCAAAGAGCCCTTGGGAGGTTGAGGCCGAGGATGAAACCCTTCCCCTCAAACAGCACACAAACGTGAGAAATGGGTGTGAGGTCCCTGCCCTAGCCAAGCCCAGACTGCTGAGGAGGGGGCATGACCTCGCTCTGTCCTTTGGGGTATCTGTGACCATAAAGTGTGCAGCACATGTGGATCTGGCTGTGTGTGATGGGAGGGGGGGTTGGCAGCTGTGAATGACAACAATGGAGGATGGGAAGATGATGAGCAGGCCTGCAGGGTTTTCTCCCAAGGGTCGAGTGCAGGGCAGGCCCAGAAGGTACCAGGCTCAAGAAGGGGGGACACTCAGGACAGGCAGCCCCGGGGCTGTGGCCCTATCCCTCTCTGAGTCTAGGGTTCCTCTTGGAGATAGAGGAGAAATCTGCCCCACCGACAGTGACACAGGAGAGGTGAACTGAAGCTAAGCTCAAGACCCTCTATGGGAGACCTCAGGCCCCTCCCGTTCCTGGCACAGAAATCCTAGGGCAGCCCGGGGTGTCCCAGAGAAGCCTGCTCCATCACTGGCTGCCTGGAGAGGGCGGAGCAGTGGGAGGAAAACTGGGCTCCCCATTCAGCCTTTTGCCTTAAGGGGTAGGGGGCAGGGCCAGTGGGGTGGGGGCCTGCACATGGACAAGCACTGTAACCTCATCTGTGAGTCTGGCAGGTCTGGGTCTGTTGGCGTGTGAGGACCTCTAGGGTGGGGACAAGGTGAGCTATGGGTGTCCCCCCTCCCGCGCAGTATTGTGGAGTATTCATATAGAATGGCCCTGCCCATGGAGGGGTGTCTGTGAGCACTAACCCACACCCAGTCTGCTGTGTCCACTCCCCTCCCCCATCCCACTGACAGTCCCAGTAAACATGCCCAGGTGGGCACCTGCAGGGCCCCTTGCTCCCACCCCTTCCTGGAGAAGGGGCTTCAGAAAGGGGCCAGGAACAACCCTCCTCCCTGACCCGATCGGTTCTCCCTGGGGCTCCAGGTTGGGCCCTCTGCCTCCCTGCCCAGGGAACTGTGAGGGTGGGGGCGGTGCTTCTGGGCAGCACCTACTCTCTCCCACTCCTGCATGAGGGGTCTACAGATTTCTACTCTGGGTCCAGGCCTTGCAGGCTGCCAGCCTCCACCCCTGCTCTCTTGTCACCAAAGGATGCACTATATGGACCGTACCCCGATCAGACTGGGTCCCCAGGATTCCTAAGCATCCAGGCCCTTCCCGGGCAGGGCTCCCACCCCCAGCACCCCGAAGATGCATGTCACTCACACCCAACACTGTAGCCACCCTAGAACGAGTATTCCGCCCAATTGGCACCGTTCACGGTTGGGCCAGACGATGCGGTGACCCCCAGACCCGTGAGAGGGGCAGAGTCCCCTGCTCAATCAGGTGACACCGTCCAGGGAGAGGAGCTCACACCCTCGGCTTCTGGAAAAGCAGCTTCAAGAACCCGAAGAAGACTACAAGACAGGCAGGTCGCAGTCCTGCATCCAAATGGGGTGGGGGCTGGGGCGCCCCAGGATTCCAGCACCGCTGCCGGAGTCTCCTCAGGCTCATCCCATTCCGCCCACCCTCGAGGTGCCCTCCAGCACAACCTGAGGCCTCAACTCCTCATCCTCTAAAAGCGCACAGGGAGGAAGTGGCCCGCAGCACCAACTATTCCCCCTTCTTACCACCGGGGAGGAGATTCGGCAGCCCGGGCAGTCGCAGATTGGAGGGTGCACCTGCAGGATGCCCTTGGACATAAGCGTCTTCAGACTTTTCCCTGTGAGGAGAGCCAGAGGCAGCACCGGTTGAGGGACAGGCCGACGAGCGCAGGAGAAGCCCGCGCAGGAGGCACGCCTTCCACCGGCGCAGCCAGCGGCACGTGTAGGAAGTACACCATCCCCTTCCCACCTCCCTCCAACTTCACGACCCGCCGTCCAGCCCACCCTGGCGGACGCCGCCGCGGGGATCAGCAATACTCTAAACCCAACTCCTGGGCGAGCGCCCTTCCTTCCCGAGGCGCGGCCTCCTCCCCGCCCCCGCGACCCTCCCCGGGCTCCACCCACTCCAGGCCGCCTCGCTCCTATGGGAGTTGGGGGCCGCGCCAAGGAAGGCCTAGTCCGCGCTCAGGGGAGCAGTGCCGTAGGGGCCCGCTTCTGCGCCCACCCCCGCGGCGCCGTGAACCCCGAAGTCGAGCACCACCCGGTCCCTAACTTTCCAACTCCCTCACTGCGCCTGGCGCTTACCACGCGCCCGGCGTCCCCGTTCAGGCGCCCCCACGTCGCGCCCTTGGAGCCAGGCTCCTGCCGGCGCCCGAAGAGGCTGCGCCTGGCCTCTCCACTTGGGCTCCGCGCGCGTCCAGCACCGACGCGCGCCCCAGCACCGCCCCCGCCAGCCCCCACCGCCCCCGCGCCTTCCTTCTCCCTCCACGAGCGCGCCCCCGCACTCTGACTGCACGTGCGCCCCTCTAATGTCGCGGGAACTGGGGTCCGCGGTCTGGTAGGAAGGTGTCCCGCCCTGCGGGCCTCTCGCCGGCTCCCCCGAGTTCTCGTCAACTTCCCCTGGGCTTCTGCCCTGGCCTGTCAGGGCGACCATGCGGGGTGGAGGCTGTTCCTGCGCAGCCCCGGACCCGCAGCGCCCCCTCGGGGCCGATAGGGCCTCCCTGGCGGCAGAGTGAGGGGCTCCGGCCCTCGAGTCCCCCGGGAGCGGAGAGGAGGGACGGCGGCCGACCCGCGCCCCACCGCGCCTGCACCTTTGTGGCGGATGCTGCGCTTCCAGTCCTTGGCCGTCTCACGGCCGCTGACGAACTGGAACTCGTTGGGCGTGAGCCACTCGCCGCGGTGGCGGATGGAGGGGCCCTTGCTGCCCTGGCAGAGTTTGCGCACGTATAGTAGCGCGCGGTTGGCGCCACACTCCACCTCGATGCAAGGCTCGCCGTTGTCCAGCAGCGGCTGGAAATCTGGCGCCGCAGCTGCGGCGGTCGAGAAGCGCTCGAGTGCAAGCGGGTCCCGGGGCAGGTGGAGGTGAGCGGCGGCCTCGTGCAGGCTCAGGTAGGCGCGCGGGGCGCGGAGCGGCGGCGCCAGCAGTGCCTCGTAGCCAGCAGCGGCGGCGGGCAGCGACGCGGCCGGGGGTAGGGCGG